AAAAAAAAAAAAAAAAGAAAGAAAGAAAGAGAAAGAAAAGAAAACAGACAACACATCAAAAGATTTGGCTACTGAGTTATTTCTGTCATTCAGTAACAATATCAAAAACTATCCGGGATGTTTTAGGAGCATCTACACATACGAAATCAACCTATAGGAAACATAATACACTACTGTGGCCACAACAGGCATTTTCCATGTGAACACTGTCAGCTCTAATAAGACTGCCTTTCGGTTCTCAAATTCTGCAATTTCACCAGCACAACCACAACAGTACCACCAGATAAATACATACCCACTGCGCTTGTGCCATTTCCTTCATTGACTCTGTGAAAGCGACAGCAAATCTAGTAAACGAACAAAAATAATACAAACAATTAGGCCAGAATTCAATTAAAGGAACTATGAAACAGCTCCCTGGAACAAATTATGAGAGACAAGGTAAGACACTACATTTAAAATGCAATCAATCTTTATTACTTGTGGTCATTGGCCATTAGGTTTAATCTCAACTCGCATCAAAAAAAAAAAAAAAAAGTTGTATGTGCAAGAAGTAAACCAAATGAAGCTCAAAACTTCCTACTTTTTCTTTTCCTTCCACGCAAGTTCAGAGAGGCAGGGATAAAATCAAAAGCAAGAAATCAAGATGCAGGAGAGAAGCAAGGCACTAGCTTGGTTGATTCACCTGAACAGTCAAAGGCTGCTCGTCCGCTCCACTGGCTCTGCTAAGGGCAGATGATGGGGACACAATCACAATTTACTGAATACACATGGGTGCTCAATGCTATCATCTCCCTCATTTCAATTGCTTCCTTAGGAAATGCACAAGAGCCCTCAAAACTAAGAACATGCTCAATGCAGCCTCAAACTCCTGGGCTTAAGTCATCCTCCTTCCTCGGACTCCTAAGTAGCTGGGACCACACCACACCTAGCTAATTTTGTTGTGTTTGCCATGAAGTACAGGAGTTTTCATAGGCACTTTTACATGGACATGTGGAGCACATTCTTAGCTGGGAAGTTCCAATACTATCAAAATGTCCATTTTTATCAAATTACATGACAAAATCAATAATCCAAATCCGTAAGTGAATTTCCATTGAAATCTGACAAAATAATTTTAAAGTTTACCTATACATGTAATTGGGTGTCAAACAATCAGAAAATTTTTGATAAAGAAGAATTCAGGCCAGGCCCAGTGGCTCACACTTGTAATCCCAATACTTCAGGAGGTTGAGGCAGGAAGATCACTTGAGCCCAGGCATTCAAGACCAGCTTGGGCAATATAGGGAGAGCCCGTCTCTACAGAAAAAAAAATGTTTTTTAATTAGCCAGGTGTGGTTGAGAACACTTTTAGTCCCAGCTACTCAGGAGGCTGAGGCAGGAGGACCACTTGAGCCTGGGATGTCAAGACTGCACTGAGCCGTGGTTGTGCCACTGCACTCCAGTTTGGGTGACAGAGGAAGAAGAAAGAAGAAAGAAGAAAGAAGGAAGAAGGAGAAGAAGGAGGAGGAGGAGGAGGAAGAGGAGAAGGGGGGGAAGGAAGAAGAGGAAGAGGAGGAGGAAGAAGAATTCAAAGATGAGACCTGTATTAACAGATATCAAAACACATTAAAAATATGATAATTACAACAGTGTTGGCAGTGAAGAAAAGATAGATCAAAACCAAACACAAGGCCAGAAACAGACCCAAATACATTTAAGAATTTGACATAGCACTAAGTCAGAGAAGTGGTGAAATACATGGGAAAAGTTAGTTTCCTACCGTATATCACATATCTGAAAAGGTGATTCATGAGCTAAGTAAAAAAAGGTAAGACTAAAGGAAGTCCAGAATGATACACGTGAACAAGCAGCTGGCCTCGGCCTGGGAAAGGCTTTCTGTGCATCAGAAGCTATGAAACTACTGGGTACCACAGGCAGTGTACGAAAAAGAGAAAGAAAAAGCTATGAAATTAATTCTAAAGATAAAAAAAAAAAGCTGTGTTATATTAAAATTAAAAGACTACTGAAATACCACAAACGTGCAATTGACATGGAAAAAACAGGAAGATTATCCTTACTCAGGAGTTCTTCAAAATTAACAAGAAAGTCAGACAGCCCAAGGGAAACAAAATGGAATGGTAACAATGGGACATTCATAGGAGGGCAAATACAAGGGACCACAAATGGAGGAAAAGTGAAATTTCTCTAATAAAACAAATCTAATTAGAATGATAGGAAAGCATTGCAACACATAGAAGATTGGCAGTTTGAAAAATAAAAATGCCCAATGTTGACAAAGGTGAGAAAATGAAAACATACACCTACTTGGTGAATTAAAATGCAAATATTCTTTCTGAAGAGAAATTTGAGAAACTGCATCAATATATTAGTATGTTCATATGGTTAGACCCTGCAATTCTACTTCTATAAATTCAACCTAAAGAAGCAATCGGACAAGTGCACAAAGACAGAAACTGATTGTTCTCTGTGGTGCTGTTTATAATAAAGATATAAACATCCGATCTCGAAGAATTGGTTACAGAATTTATGATAGAATTCTATGCAGCCATCAAAACCATGTTTGGCACCTTAAAATTTTCAAAAATGTTCACGATGTTTTGTTAAATAAAACAGGTAGCATGCATCCACACACATAATCAAAGTACCAGAAAGAAAGGAGAGAAACAGAAAAAAGTATTAAAGGAAATAATGGCTGAAAAGTTCCCAAATGTGATGAAAAACTTTAATCTACACTAATTCAAGCTCAGTGAATTTCAAGTAAGATAAATTCAAAGAGATTTATACCCAGACATATCATGGTCAAAATGTTGAATGCCAAAACAATGAGAAAATCCTGAAAACAACCTAAGAAAATGACTCATCGCTTATAAGAAACTGCAGTGAGCTCAACAGCTGACTTACCAGAAACAATGGAGGCCAGAAGGGAATGAATGAGATACCTGCTTAAACTATTGAAGGAAAAAAACAAGATTGTCAACCAAGAATTCCACACCCAAGCTGGGCGCAGTGGCTCACACCTGTAATTCCAGCACTTTGGGAGGTCGAAGCCCATGGATCACTTCAGGTCAAGAGTTCAAGGCCAGCCTGACCAACCTGGTGAAACTCCACCTCAACTAAAAATACAAAAGTATTAGCTGGGCGTGGTGGCAGGTGCCTGTAATCCCAACTACTCAGGAGGTTGAGGTAGGAGAATTGCTTGAATCTGGGAGGCAGAGGTTGCAGTGAGCCAAGATCATGCCACTGCACTCCAGCCCAAGTGACAGGAGACTCCATCTAAAAAAAAAAAAAAAAAAAAAAAAAAAAAAAAAAAAAAAAAAAAAAAAAAAAAAAAAAAAAAAAGAAGAAGAAGAAGAATTTCATGTCCAGCAAAATTATATTTTTCCTGTTTTTTTAAAAATTTTTATGGATACATAATTGTTTTACATATATATCAGGTGCATGTGATATTTTGATATCACATGTGTATGAACAAATCAAGGGTGACCGGACGACCCATTACCTCAAACATTTATCATTTCTTTGTGTTGGGAGCATGCCAAATCTTCTCTGATTATTTTGAAATATATGATAAATTACTGCTAACTGTAGTCACTTGATTGTGCTTCTAACCGCTGGATCTTGCTCCGCTGCATAGCTGTATTTTTGTACCCATTAACCGTCCCTCTTAATTCCCTCTTCCCACAACCCCTCCCAGCATTCCAGATAAATAAAATAAGTAGCTTAAAAAGCGTGTGTGTCATTCCACCCAAATTTTCAAAAATAATAACAATAAAAATAAAAATATTGTCACAAACACACAAATATAAGTAATTAAAAGATCACCTAACAAAAAGCTAGCCATGGTTAAAGTACACATAAAGTTCAAAGGGAATTTGCTTTTCCCTGGCTTCTTCAGTACTTTTCAAAATTTCTACTGCATTGGGACAGCCATTTTTTTAGTTAGAAAGAAAATTCTTAACAAAACATTTTATAACATCAGGACTTCCAATCTTTCAAGACTTCCTGTAGATGATATCTATTCTCCTATCTTTCTCCCATATCATTATATTCCCCTCTACCCATTATAAATATGCTATTATTTTTCTTACCTTAAAAATGACTCTCTTAATCCCATAGTCCCTGCTTCAATTACTGCCCTTTTTCTCTTTTCTCCTCGACAAAAAAAGCCCTAGTGTTACCTTGACTCAACACCTCCAATGCGTCTCTTCTCATTTAAACCGCTCCAGGCAGCCCCCCTGACTGCACCATTGAAACTGCTCCCAAGGTCGCTAACGACCTCCATGTTGGTAAGCTGAATGGTTCAATCCTCAGTCTTCATCTTACTTGACCTATCCGCAGCAGCAGACACATAGGATCCCTCCTTCCTCCTTGGAATGCTGCTCCATTGGTTTCCACCATACTGTTTCATTTCATCTAATGGCTACTCAGTCTCAGTCTCACTAATTTCTCTCTCTGATTTCTCAAAAATGGAATGCTCCAAGACTCAGTTCTTGACTTGTTTTCTCTGCACTTACTCTCTTGGTGACCTTGCCAGTTTTCAGTTTTCAACAGCATCTGTATATTGACCAACAAACGGACCCTCCCCTGACTTGCCCACACTTCTACCTACTTCCTACCTCCATGCAGATGCCTCATACAAACCTTAAGCTTCATAACAATGTCAAGTAATAAGAACCATATTTTTAGTGAAGAAATAGATATACACATAATTGTATATATGTACATACATTTCCAAGCTCTGTCTACTACGAAGGCTTACAAGAAATGATACTGAGTAAGCAATAAGCATGATCTTCATTTCTAAATAACATTCTCTAAAAAGGAAAAAAAATATAAAGAAACCAGGAATCCTTTGAGAAAGAGCCACTTCCAGAAATAGGACAAGGGAGACAGGAGATGAATCAGAAACATTTTATGATGCCAGAAAGAAGAAATGTCCTCAGAAAATAATGAGAGCATGTCAAAAGAACACAGGCATCAGCTCAAAGCATCTCCCATGGCAAATCTGGGACAATCTGAGCACCCAAATAAACAAAATTAGTAACAGATAACCTACAAAGGAAAATAAAATAAATATCATGAGTCCATGTTGTGTGTGTGTGTGTGTGTGTGTGTGTGTGTGTATTTTTTTTTTTTTTTTTTTGAGATAGAGTCTCACTCTGTCACCCAGGCTGGAGTGCAGTGGTACCATCTCAGCTCACTGTAACCTCTGCCCCCTAGGTTACAGCAACTGTCCTGCCTCAGCATCCTGAGTAGCTAGGATTACAGGCACGTGCCACCACGACCAGCTAATTTTTTTTTTCTTTAACTTTTAGTACAGATAGAGTTTCACCATGTTGGCCAG